CAGAACGCAAATTCTGCGATAAACCAAAAAGGGCTTCGAATCGCGTGAATTGAAAAACTTAAAAAATCAAGTGAACTGATGATGACATAATTCGTGGAGCTATGTATGTAACTTGCAAGGATAAAAATACCCCACTTTATATGGAAGATCGTTAATGGTTCCGAAAACTGGACCTTTATGTTAAACGATGTTTTCAAACCAGTGCCGGAATGATTGTTCTTGTATTTACATTTCACGCGCACATACTTTTGCCTTTTAGATGTGTTGCTCAACAGGACCATCCGGATTGCCGGTGTTAACACTGAGCTAGGAATCACCTAAGCACCAAGCGCATTTAAGCAAAGCCTCTTATTTTAGGACGTTCATTTTCTCTCGCTACTCCACAACTTTATTATATATATATTCAAGCTTTTCAAAAGCTGGCTTCCGATTTCATGCTTCACATGGTAACACATAAATACAGTAATGATACAGTAATATATAAATTAGGCAGCAGTCAAATTTTTTTCATAATTTCATTTTGTGCTATTTCTGCGCATTTTCACCGTGCTTATTGCTAATATATGCATTGTTCTGCATGTTTATGCGCAAGTAAGGAGCACATACCGGGAGGAATTCCTTCGCCGCCGGGCGTTTTACACGCTAAGTCAACTTCTTTTCTGAGTACACGATCAATATCCACTTGACTGAAGAAGGCAACGGACTGAAAAGAAAGCACTGCATAAAAATTGACTGTTCAGAAAACAAAAATTTTTTAACAGCTAAAAAAGTATTTTAACTATACCTAACTAGAGCTAGAAACTTCACCCCTCTATGTCAAGCAAGGGATTCTTTTTCGCAAATGAACTTAAACAAACCATTGGCAACTGATTGATGCCTAATTTTTGCGAAATCATTGCGCGCACATACATGTTGCTTATGGTCAATGCCAGTGCACATCGGTAACGATCCTCAGTCGGTACAATATACCTAATCTGAAAGCACATAAATGATTTTTTCCCCATCAGTCACTAAATTCGGACATAAAAGAAAAATGATGGAACGAATTTCAGAATTTGCCGGATTACAAACCGCTTAAAGGACACTAAAAAATACGTGTTGTTCAGAAGAACCCTCCAAAAAAGGCTGAATATTTCCCAGAACTGACAACAGACGTGATGAGTAAGATTGCAAGAAACGGCAAAATTTTAACCCACTTCATCGTGAATCGAAAGAGCAAATCGAGCTTCAATTTGGAAAGTTTCACAGAGCCATTTCATGCAAACAATGAGCAGGTGCAGGAAATCAACGGCACTTGACTGCACCACCTAAAACTGTGCTGTATTCATTTTAATACAATTACTCCTTGTAACATTGAATTAGCCACCGTCACTTCGTGAGATTGTCAACTTTCCCACGATTAAAGCGCCATTATCAAAAGCTATTTATCCAAACATCCAAAAATTCTATTCATCCAAAGCTATTTATCCAAAGGTTGTCAACAATCTCCTTCACTTTTCGTATAATTCCCTTCATCAAATTCCCCTTCACCTTTCAAATTCCCTTCACCTTTAGCAGTGAATTGAAAGGAAATACCGAAGGAATTCGTTGGGAAAATGCCCAAAAAAGTTTTTCCTTCTCTGACAGGGCTATTACCAGCAGGTT